ATTTTTTATTTTAGAATTCTTCTTTATATTCGTTTATTTTGTAGGTAACTATATAAATATAATAAGGATTTATTGAAAATATATAACAAAATCAGTAGAAAGATTAATTAGATTCTATATTTCATTTGGTGTTTTTACTGTTTTCTATTGTTATTATGTATGTGCATGTTCTTTATTATACTATATTACTGTATATTCTGTATATGTGTTACATCATATTACTATGCAATGTATAGATACAAGTTGAATTTATCGATCTATGAACTTCGAATCGTAAATGACTGAGTCGTACTACTTTAATTCAAATATCTCATCAAAATTATTGGAAAATACTGAAATAAATAAAATTCCTTCTCCTATCTGCTTTTACAAATAACATAGCTTTTTGCAGTGCCTGTATGTTTAATAGATGCATGTACATATCTGCGGTAAAAACAAGAATCTAAAGTAGAATAGCACACGTCGAGTACGACCATTCTTTATGCTTACGTTTTTTGTTCATAATAATGAATTTTATCACCGCGAAAGCGTATAAATTTTAAAAGATACGAAATATCATTCACGAGACACATATTCAAGTATTGCAGAAATTCGCAAAAAAGAAGAAAAAAGAAAATAAAAAGGATTGCAGTAGATAGAGAAACCGATTTTTCTTATTTTAATTTCCTATTTTTTAATCTTTTAATATTATTTATATAACTAATATTAATTTTAATATTAATATTAAATATCAAATACAATTATTAATTTTAATATTAAATATTAAATAATATTAAAATTAATTTAATATTAGGAATTTATACTCCAACTATTTTCAAGAAGCATTTTACATTTTACATCATGTATATATGTAGAAATTATATAGTAATTCTATATACAGCCTATAAAAAGAATTTGCATATTATCCTTTTCGTCTTGGCATCCATTAAGACCAGACTTTTATTATATTAAACCTTTTAACGTCTAAAAACATTTTAACCTAATTACAAGGAGGCTGACCTGGAGAAAATGGAGCACAGAATTTAATTACAAGACAGTCTCATTGCAGGATATATATATCTGAACAGATAAATACATCCTGTAATCACTATAAATTCTTAAATTTTAATAACAAACTCATTGCGAGGTGTTCAAGTTCCATAAACGATAATCATTTCAAATTTTTCCTTCTAATAACAATTCTCTTCTTAGCCAAAATTTATAGTTATTCAAAATTAAGTCAACAACCCAAAATATTTAATATATTCGAATTGAACGAATAATTAAATAAAAAGAGGTATTCAAAGCAGCTTACATGTTGCAGAATTTATTTATCTTCATCTTTCACCTATCTCGAGATCAAAATTTATATTTCCAATTTTTAAATTTACAATTTACATTATCTCAATAACTAGTTAAAAATAGTAAAGCAAAACATGAAAACACTCCAAATATCGTTAACAAAAATTAAAAAATTATGAATTTAGGAGAATACAATTTTTCTAACAATTTCTGAAGCAATAAAATTAATTACCAATATATAGACGTATGTACCCAATACAATAAATACAAAGACAAGTAAAGCAATGTGCAACGACATCTGTAAGGTGAAGCTTCACAAAAATGTGAATTTAGCAAGACACGATTCTAACAATTTCTAAAGTAATAAAATTAATTACCAATATATAAACGTATGTCAATACAATAAATACAAATACAAGTAAAAGCAATCTGCAACGACATCTGGTAGGTCAAACCAGAATTATCTGCCCCTAATAGTGCAATTCTTTGAATCCAATTTTCTCAAAAACCAAGCCCTATACGAAAAAGCTTCGTTCCACATTTTCGACTTACTTTTCCACCCAGAATCACATCCCGTCCTCCCCAGTCATCAATTATCGTCCACTTCCTTCTACATACGAACCTGCGTGGTCTTGCCTTCCATGGACCGTCCCCTTTCTTCGCTAATTTCGTTCAAAGTTAAACCGGTGCATTAGGAAGTATTTACTCTGATTACAAATTGCCTGTAAACGTTAGCCGTACACAAATCGAATTATCCGTTGTATATGTTTGCCCCGGACTAGATACGTACACATCCGTGCAGGTGCACGCAGGGGGCGTGTACATTCGAAACGCTAGCTGGCTAACGAACCAAAGCGCTTTCTGAATGCCAAAGAGCCTGGCCATCGCCGTCGTTGGTCCGGTTTCCTCTTTCCTTCTTAATCTTCGCTACCGGAAGGAAGTTCTTTACGTTTCCCACGTGATCCGATAAATAAGGGAAGAGGAGAGTCTCGTTTGCCGGACACGTCTCAGACGTTGTCGTCGATACCGGTCCTCGTTTCGACAAAGACACCCACTTCACTCGTTTCACTTCCACGGCAAGTCTCTGCCACGTCATTTTATCCCCTACCTTTCCTTTTTCAAAAATATTTTTCCAACCTTTTCTTTATTGTATTTCTATAAGATTTTACGTTTTTTAACAAAAGATATTACTCTCATTTCACTGATTTTGATGATATTTGATATACACGTGTTTAACTCTGCTCCCCGCCCGGGGAGATGCCCGATTTGGCGTATTACTCTTGGGCCACTTCAGGTCTGGCATGGATATGAGATCCAACCGAAGCTGACATGAGTTTGGATAGTAAACTGTGAGAAGCTATCGCTTATCCAGTTATCCAACCTCCGCAAGGGCGATGGGGATAAAACACCCACACACCGCCCTATGGAGGGGTTGGGATACGCCCAACCAGCGCGAACCGAAAGTGCCAAGAACACAATCGGTCCTGCCAATTTGTCTAACTGGGATGCTAGCCCCAGTCGACTCCCTTGGTGTTGGGACGGGACCTTTCTAAATCCCTACTGCCTCAGGAGGACAGCACCCGAGCTGTACGATGCGCAACTCTCACGCCGGGCTTCGAGAGACCTTGCCTGCGATGTAGGCTCCAACCACTGCCACCACGAGGCCAACTCAGCGACCTACGGGCGGACTGCCATAAGACAGTCGGCCCAGGGCTAAATCGGTCTCCCGTGGTACCGGTGATCACGGGCGTACCGGTCGTCCCGTTCGTGGCGAACCACTACCGTTCTGAGGCTGCTAGCCCACCTCGACGTAGGTGCACGTCAGCTAGGCACCGTGGGGTTGCCAGTCCCATACTACGGCCGACCAAGGTCGACCGTAGAGCACACAGCTGACAGGGGAAAAAAGACATTTTGGGCGGCAGTTGCCATTTCCGTACTCAGGCAGGACCATAAACTGAGTTAAGCCAGGAGGGAAACAGCGCCTCAGTGAAAACGCATACTATTGCAGATAGAACTATCCTAGAAACCTAGCGTACAGGACGCTCTTTAATTTACAAAATCAGTCTACGAGTTTTGAGTTTGCGTTATCGTGTTCTTGTTCTTTCGTCAATTTTCGGTGTCTCAACACCAGTTTGTGATTCATACCTCAGTTCACGCGTCACTCATCCTCACACACATGCACTCATGCTTCTATGCGTGATATTTGGATCACATTCAGTGGGATATCACCGATTTACAGTTGATGCTTTTGGTTTCCTTTTACAGTATTAAATAAAAATTCACCTTCTCGGTAAATCTGGCAATAGTGTCCATATAGCTGTGCATTTAGCAGTGCAATTAATTAGGGGATTATCTGAATTAATTAGGGGAAAAATTTATTGGGATCATCGATCGATATCTTTTCATTTTCGTTCGCTTATTTTACCCAATTTTCTTGGTGATATTCGCTACACGAACGTTGCTGTGGATGTTAACAGTATAATTACATTTAGGTAGATATAACCTAGGGTATATGTATAGAAATTGTTACATAAATAAAGCAGTGCATTTTAATTTATGGTTCGTATAATGTTTCATAAATGGAGCATAATTCCAGTGTTTTAAAAGCTTTCAGGGGAGTTGTTAAATTTTTGCAGCGTTATATTTCGCGAAAATTTGGACAATTTCGAAAATTATTTTCCGAATCAATGTTCAAGCGGAGAAGTTACGAGTGAAAGAGCTTTTGATTAATTTCAAGCACTCTTCTTTTTGTACGAATTTGTTTGTACATTCGAACGCGAAACGAGTATCGTGGTTTTAACGTCGTTTCGTTAATAATTTTACGGAAAATAATTAAGTGGGCGAGGCAGCTCACCTGTGCATTCGTTGCATTTATTGCTTTATATTTGCTGAAAATGGCACGATATTCTCCAAAAAAATTTCACCCCTTGTTCCATATGATTTCATATTTCTCTTTAATCGATTCTCGACATTTCAAACAAGAAGAAAAAAAAAAAGAAAAAAATACGTGCAAAGTTACAAACTGTTGAAACTCGAAATTCTTTCCCGACGTTTCCAGAAAGCCATTCCGGCGCCACAATTATCAAAACTGAAATAACAGTTCAACTTCAGTTGAGAAACTCGAAGGAAAGATTTAACGAGCAAACAACTTTAAATTGTCCACGCAGAACAAATTCACGCGTGAAACTTAATTCGCCATTATTCCCCAGCTACCGCGAACACAAACAAGATAACGACCAATTCCAAATTAAAAAAAAAAGAAAAAAAAGAAATAAAGCTTCGTGTCGTTCCAGTTCCAAGCCACGAACTCTTCGTTCGCGCGGCTAATTAAATCGTCGGGGCTCCATTACAAAATTCAGCGAGGCCGATCGAACGAGTCTTAATTACATTTCTAATTGCGCGAACGTAGCCGCGCGAAGCGAGATGAAATTTCGGTACTGGCCGGCGTTCAATAACGAAATTCAATTATCCCGCGACCTATCCGCGAATTTAAAATCCACGTCGATACCACCACCTACGCGACGATAGGCCGCGGGAAGAACCCCGAGAAAGAGCCCGGCCGATATCCACGCTGTCCACGTTTAACAATCGTCAGCAATTTTAAAAGCCTCGTTAGCAGCCCTGACATAACGACTGCAATGTCCAACTCGTGGGCCAGGCCACGTCGAAGCCCCCTAACGATCGCCTTTTACGTGAGTCACGTCTCCTTCTGTCCCCAGATCGCGGAACATCCGACTACAGCCTGCTGGTCGCCTGTTTCGCCGGTGGGATAACAGCCGTGTGCATCCTGATAGTGGGCATCACGCTCACCCTGTACCGCCGTAGCCATCCCATGCAGCCCGTCAAGACTCACACCGAAGTGGTGCAATATGGCGGCAAGGAGGACAGAGCGACGGTGGCGCCAACCTGCAAGGAGACCCGAGACGACGCGAAGGGAGAAATGGCGAACGATATGACCGACGACGACCCGGACGTGATCCCCAGCAAGATGGACAAGAGGCCAGACATATTCGAGCCCAAGTACGAGATCGTGAGTTTGAACAGGACGAAAGATATCGGTCACTTGGAGGAGCTGGATTATCCGTCGCCCTCGTCCGTGTTGCACACGAAGGATTCGTGGATTTATCCGAACGGCTTCGTGAAGAAAGTGGAGAAGAGCTTGAGCCCGCTGAGACCGAGCACGCTCCTGGTGCACCGCAGTCACGACATCTACACGAGGAGTTCGCGAGTGCAAGAGAGCTGTATATAGACGGTGCAGATGGCTCTGCCGTCGATCGTGGCGCCACTGGTCAGTCCAATGGCCGCGACGCGGTTTCTCGTGCTCGCTGGTCAGGATTGGGTCTGAGTGTGTCAGACTTGGGTCTGACGCTCGTGTGATTAACGTTTGGATCCTGGTTGTTAGAGATAGCTCGTGCGATGATCGAGTAAAATGTATTTGAGAAAGAGGTAGGTACTGGAGATGAAATAAATTTGGGGAATTTCAAATTGGAAGTATTCGAAGTGCGAGATTTGACGTGGAATTTTGGATACAATTGTAGGATAAGGGGATGAGACAGGGTATGTCTTTAGCTAAGTAGATTTTACTCGAACAGTGACGGATCTAGACTTCACGAGGCCCGTAGCTTTACACACTTTTGGGACCCTATATTGAAACCTTTATTATACTCACACTTGTTATGTGAACATTCCGTTCAATCTAAAAATATTTTAAACCTCATAAATGTGCAAGGAACCTAACACGAAAGTATGATATTGCAAAATCCATCATACGTTTGATTTAATTTAATTTAAGACGGAAGTTCTGTTTCTTTCTAATGTTAATATTATTCTCATTTTTTGTTTTAAGTATTACATAAGAATTCTCTTATTTGAACACTTTCTTCTCCCAATCAGTTCACGCGACATAAGTACAAAATAAGTAAAAAATTGAAGAAAAAGGCAGAGAATGCATATTCCTTATTGGGAAATAGAATTTGTTTAAATATTAAAGTACAGTTTCTATGAAATAATGTGTATTTCTATAGCGACGCGAGGGTGCCAGTTTTACAAGGCCCGAGGTCTCCACCGCCTACACCTACATCCGTCACTGTGCCCAAGTCTTCACCTACGATGTAAACTATTCTACGTAACACTGCTCCATATCTGCTCATCTTTCTTTCCGATGCCAAACGAGAGTACAAACTTCAGGTTATAAATAATCGAATTCTCATCGTCTAGCCTTGTTTCCCCACTGTCGGACCTGAGTATCAAAAAGTCGCGTTCTGACAGACCTTGCTCCCTCCCCTTAACCTTCAATTCGGTTCTCCCGTGCAAGATCGAAGGAACGGGTACAGCTGACTGTCCTATCGCGAGGCTGCGATTGTCTCATGCGAAATGCGTCAAGCATGCTGACGATCGTTTGTAAATAGACAATAAGTATCGTTAAGATTCCCTCCTGAACTGTCGAGGTACTTGCTCTTATTTTTCACCTAGGCTTAAGCTAACCGTAAACGTAAATGTAAAGAGGAGAAGGATGACACGATAAAGAGGAGCGTCTCGTTTATCACGGCGTTTGTACATAGACAATAAATTTTCTTCCTTGGATGTTCGTCTCCCAGTCGAAAGCTTCCCGTACTCCCGATCTCATCGTCGGTACCGTGGTTTCGTGTTGAACGTTGTTTCGTGTGAGTACTTGATGTATCGTGTGAGAATGAGCGCGTTCCAGTGGCGAACGCGTTAACGCTTGGGCCAATCAACTGGCCAAACCTTTTAACGGACATGTAAACGTTTGTATATATGAATAATAAACATCGTTGTTTAATAACTTGCAACTGAGTCTGCTGCTTTATCAACAGCGTATCGCTGATGGTGTCAGGGCAGGGATGAAACGTAGGTAAGTAACGGCTCCTCGGTGGTTCGGTTAATTGCTGAACTCTGATAGAGTTGGAATATGGAATGTAAGTGGCTTTCGATGAAATTGGATTTATTCCCGCTTTTTTATTGCTGGCTCGAAACTTTGATTCTTGAGCCTGGGTAGGTAGATCGAGTTGGGAATAAGCTAACTTTTTCTAGGAATATTATTTATGGATATAATTAAATTTTTCATTCCTTTATGGGATGTTGACTTCGACAATTTTTTGATCCTTGGATGAGTATCTTAATCTTCTGTTTTGTTAAAAAGTTTAGATTAGTTAAGGCTTTTGTTAGAACTAGTTTTGTTAAGGCTAGACTAGTGTTCAGGCATTTAAAGCTAACTTTTTATGGGAACATCATGTATTGGTGTTATTAAATTTTTCTTTCCTTTATGGGACCATGATTTAAAAAATTTTTGGATCTTTTGAAGAATATTTTAATCTTTTGTTTCGTTAAGGCTGGTTAAGATTAGTTAATGCTTTTATTAGGACTAGTTTTGTTAAGACTAGACTAGTGTTCAGGCATTTAAAGTTAACTTTTTATGGGAACATTATTTATTGGTGTTATTAAATTTTTCTTTCATTCGTAGGATCTTAATTTTGGAAATTTTTGGATCCTTGGAAGAGTACTTTAATCTTTTGTTTTGTCAAGAATAGTTAAAATTAGTTAAGACTTTTGTTAAGACTAGACTAGTGTTCAGGCATTTAAATTTAACTTTTCATAGGAACATTATTTATGGAAGTTATTAAATTCTTCTTTCTGTTATGGGACCTTGATTTTAAAAATTTTTGGATCTTTGGAAGAGTACTTTAATCTTTTGTTTTATTAAGAATAGTTAAAATTAGTTAAGACTTTTGTTAAGAATAAACTAGTGTTCAGGCATTTAGAAGTGGATGTCATAGCACACATTTTATTATTTGTAGATGGGAAATTTAATAAACGATAGTGTATCAATGTTTATATCTATTCGTATTTATCGTACTTTATGTTGCAGTATAAATTCTGATTTGTAGGATGCTTTAAATCTTTGCATATGAGTATTACTTTATGCAAGAAATAAGTCTCTGATCCAATTTCTTGTTTATAATATTATTTAAACTAAATATAATTTAGTTATTATAAACAGAATATTAAATTAGATTCTCTAAATAAAAATATCTAATATATATATATAAATTCCCATTAAAATATATTAATTTACATATGCTATTGTGGACAAAACACCATTAAAATACAATATTAATTAATTACAATATTTTTATATAACACCTGCATTGATATTAAAATATCACATATCTGCCATAATGATGTAATAATAATGACACATATCTAAATATCTATTGTGAACAAAACACCATTAAAACACAATATTAATTAATTACAATATTTTTATATAACATCTATAATAATATTAAAATATCACACAGCTGCTATAATGAAGAAGCAATAATGACACATATCTAGATATCTATTGTGAACAAAACACCATTAAAACACAATATTAATTAATTACAATATTTTCGTATAACATGTGTATTAATATTAAAATATCACATAGCTGCCATAATGATGTAATAATAATAACGTATATCTAGATGGCAATATATGGTGAACCACCCTGTATATCGACAACTGCAGTACTTGTATTCCAACAAACTTCTAAATGTCATAAAATACAATAACAAACAATTTATTCCGAACCAAACTAAACCTCAAAAAAGGAAGAAAAATAAAGAAATTCCAAAATTGTTTCAAAAATCGATGCAACAAAACCACCGCAGAAAATTCGAAAACTCTAATCTCTAAGTACCCACAGCTCGTGATACCACCGAATCCACTCACAAGCCAGATTCAACTACCTATTTCCAAAAACTGATCCGTTCGGCGCTTCAGTTCCGGAAGCCATGGCCGGCAAAGACACCGGAAGCTCTCCGCGGGATCACAACGAGTACGGCTTTACATAAATTCGAACTGCAATTCCCGCTTGACAGGAGACTGTTTCTCTTCCATTAACTCTTCGACGTTTGGGATATTGTTGACTGATTCCGGACGCATCGGCGGCGATTTGCTGGACCGGCAGATATTTCAGTAAGCCGCTTATCCCGTGCCGCGGATCTAGAGATCTCTCCCAGCGGCTCGTTTAACGGGCAGCGTCGCGTACACACGATTCACGCCACACAGATTTCGGTCTACGCGAGGGTTGACGTTGCAACAGAGATCCAGACGATGATGGCCGACGATAAATCACATCGTTAGGACAACGCTCGTCCAGTGAATCTCGTTTCACGCTACCTGGGAATAAACTGCCTGCAATCTGTCCCTTCAGTGGCGTTCTGCGAATTGCACGCGTGACTGTCCTCTTCCAATTGTTGGGGTCCTTTGTTTCAGGTTTGTGATGGCTTAAGGCATTGCGGGAGGACAGGAAAAACAGAAAATTTCGAAAAATCGATGAAGTTTTGAGTTCTAAACTCTGAGATCTGAAAACTGCGTTTTGCGTTCTGAGTTCTAAGTTCTGAGCGCTGAAATTTGAATTGTACGTTCCGATTTCTGAGTCCTAAGTACCGAGATCTGAGTTCTAAGTTCTGAGCGCTGAAATTTGAATTCTACGTTCAGATTTTTGAGTCCTAAGTACCGAGATCTGAATTCTGCGTTCTGAGTTCTGAACTTTGATTGCAAGATTTTCAGTTTCGATTTCTTTCCGTGTTTTCTGTGCTGAGATCTAAGTTCTGAGTTCCGAATCCTCAGCTCTGACATCTGAGAACTATGTTTTGAGCTCTGAGTTTTAAAATTTCAATGCTACGTTTAGATTTCTGAGTCCTGAGCATTGAGATCTGAATTCTGTATTCTGAGTTCTAAACTCTGATTGCTAAGTTTTGAGTTCTGATTTCTTTCTTTGTTTTGTGTGCTGAGATCTGAGATCTCAGTTCTGAGTTCTAAGTTTAGAATTCTGTATTCTGAGTTCTAAACTCTGATTGCTAAGTTTTGAGTTCTGATTTCTTTCTTTGTTTTGTGTGCTGAGATCTGAGATCTCAGTTCTGAGTTCTAAGTTTAGAATTCTGTATTCTGAGTTCTAAACTCTGATTGCTAAGTTTTGAGTTCTGATTTCTTTCTTTGTTTTGTGTGCTGAGATCTGAGATCTCAGTTCTGAGTTCTAAGTTTAGAATTCTGTATTCTGAGTTCTAAACTCTGATTGCTGAGTTTTGAGTTCTGATTTCTTTCTTTGTTTTGTGTGCTGAGATCTGAGATCTGAGTTCTGAGTTCTAAGTTTTGAACTCTGAGATCTGAATTTTAAGTTATGTGGTCTGAGTTATAAATTCTAAGTTGTGAGTTCTAAACTCTGATTACGGAGTTGTGAGT